TAGAGAAAGTGCAAAGGTTTGCAACAAGGCTAGTTCCAGAGCATAGGGTAATGTCCTATGAAAAAAGGTTAAGGGAAATCGGCCTGACGACACTGGAGGACAGGAGGGTTCGGGGAGATATTATAACGACATACAAAATACTGCGAGAATAGATAAGGTGGACAAAGACAGGATGTTCCAGAGACTGGACACAGCAACACGGGGACACAGTTGGAAGCTGAAGACACAGATGAATCAAAGGGATGTTAGGAGTATTTCTTCAGCGACAGAGTAGTCAGGAAGTGGAATAGTTTGGGAAGCGATGTAGTGGAGGCAGGATCCATACATAGCTTTAAGCAGAGGTACGATAAAGCTCATGGTTCAGGGAGAGTGACCTAGTAGCGACCAGTGAAGAGGCAGGCCAGGAGCTTGGACTCGACCCCTGCAACCTCAACTAGGTGAGTAACTAGGTGAGTACACACACCAACACACACACACCAACACACAACACCAACACACACACACACGCATACACACACACACACACACACACACACACACACACACACACACACACACACACACACACACACAAAACAGGTCTAGTGTCTAATCGACATGTGCCTAGGACCAAATGGTAACTAACACACACACACACACACACACACACACACACACACACACACACACATACGTTGTCATCATGGAAGTAATGTTTAGATTATTATATCCGCAGCGCCGCCACGCTTACAAAAGTATAGATTTCGTCAGTGTGTTCTTTACATGTAGGTTAAGAATAACAGAGAGAGAGAGAGAGAGAGAGAGAGAGAGAGAGAGAGAGAGAGAGAGAGAGAGAGAGAACATTAGTAAAATAAAATGATAGAAAAAGTGAATAAAAGAAGAAAATACAAGTTGGGGTGAGCGGCACACCACAAGTTATAGTGAGAGTTGCAGAATCACTAGTGTTATGTGTGCTCTCCCTCGCTCCCTCCCTCCCTCTCCCTCTCTCTCTCTCTCCCTCCCTCCCTCTCCCTCTCTCTCTCTCTCCTCCCTCCCTCTCCCTCTCTCTCTCTCTCCCTCCCTCCCTCTCCCTCTCTCTCTCTCTCCCTCCCTCCCTCTCCCTCTCTCTCTCTCTCCCTCCCTCCCTCTCCCTCTCTCTCTCTCTGTTATTCTTAACCTACATGTAAAGAACACACTGACGAAATCTGTACTTTTGTAAGCGTGAGGTGTTGCAGGGTAGAGAGGAGGTTATGACTCCGCTCGTCTGCTGGACACACCGGATCACCCACTTTCCCAGGACACAGCCATGATGGTGGTAGTGTCAGTGGTGGTGGTGAAAGTGGCACTGATGGTAATAATGGTGGTTGTGGTCGCTACCACCACTTCAATCACCCAGGTGATAACTGAAGCAGTGGTACCGGGGCTTGTGATGGTGGTGGAGAAGTGGTTGTGGTTGAGCAACCTCTCCTTGCAAATTCTTTGATTTCTTACATAAGATTTCAGCTAATTTCTTGATTTACATTACTTAGGTTTGGTTAAGCTACACTGTCATCTCTTTAAGATAAGATAAGATAAGATTTCGTTCGGATTTTTAACCCCGGAGGGTTAGCCACCCAGGATACCCCAAGAAAGTCAGTGCGTCATCGAGGACTGTCTAACTTATTTCCATTGGGGAATTAGCTAATTATAACTTATCACAATGCCAATAAATTAAATATTACATAGAGGCGATAAAAAATTTAAAGCACAAACTGGAACAAGTTACCCACCGAGTGTCCTCTACAGTCATATAAGCACTGTTTAAGGCTCGCGAACAGTCACCCATTTGACTGTCTTAGCAACAGTGAAATATCGAAGCTTAGTGATCCTGGTGGGTTTAGCGCTTAGTTTTGATTATAATAATAACAGTGGAATACAGACTGTTATTAAGTGGATGGGATGAGTTGATATAGTGTTAGTTGTTATTGTAGTGGTGGTAATGATGGTCAAGGGGTTTGTGGTGAAGATGACTATATTAAAGATGGTTGTACATTGGCTGTCATAAAGATGGCATTTACACGGGTTAATGGTAGTTTTGGTAGTAGTAGCAGTGGCTTTAATAGTGACGTCGACAATATTGATGGTGGTGGTAACAGCTGCAACATCAGCGTTTGCGTGACTCACTAGCGTGGGAAGTGATCACACCAAATCAAATGCACGCACGCACGCACGCATGCGCGCGCGCGCACACACACACACACACAGACAGACACACAGACACACACACACACACACACACACACACACACACACACACACACACACACACACACACACACACACACACACACACACATATTGCTGTGATGAGGTGTCAGAGTGTGCGCCTGTGACGAGCGGGGTTCCACAGGGGTCAGTCCTAGGACCGGTGCTGTTCCTGGTATATGTGAATGACACGACGGAATGAATAGACTCAGATAAATCCCTGTTTACAGACGATTTGAGTTAATGAGGAGAATTCAGTCGGAGGATAAAGGAGAACTACAGAGAAATCTGGACAGGCCTGGTTCAGCAACTAATTCCTAGAGTTCAAATTCACCAAGTGCAAAGATCATGAAGATCAGGGGAAGGTCAAAGAAGACCGCAGAGTACAGTCTAGGGGGCCAAAGACTACAAATCTCACTCAAGGAAAAGAATCCTGGAGGACAGGAGGGACAGGATGGGACATTATAACCACATAAAATACTGAGAGGAATCGACAAGGTGGAAAGAGACAGGATGTTCCAGAGATGGGACACAGCAACAAGGGGTCACAATTGGAAGTTGAAGAATCAGATGAAGTATTTCTTCAGCCACAGTTGTCAAGTTGTCAGAAAGTGGAATAGTCTGGAAAGTGAGGTAGTGGAGGCAGGAACCACACATAGCTTTAAGAATAGGCATGATAAAGCCCATGGAGCAGGGACAGAGTGGACCTGGTGATGACCAGTCGAAGGAGGGCCAGGAGCTATGAATCGACCCCTGCAACCACAATTAGGTGAGTACACACAAACGCACACACACACACACACACACACACACACACACACACACACACACACACACATGCAAATGCAATGTCATGAAGATTGGGGAAGGGCAAAGAAGACCGCAGACAGAGTATAGGCTAGGCGGACAAAGACTGCAAACCTCACTCAAGGAGAAAGATCTTGAGGTGACCATAACACCGAGCACGTCTCCGGAAGCACACATCAACCAGATAACTGCATATGGGTGCCTGGCAAACCTGAGAATAGCATTCAGATACCTTAGTAAGGAATCGTTGAAGACACTGTACACTGTGTACGTCAGGCCCATACTGGAGTATGCAGCACCAGTTTGGAACCCACACCTGGTCAAGCACGTCAAGAAATTAAAGTACAAAGGTTTGCAACAAGGCTAGTTCCGGAGCTCAGGGGAATGTCCTACTAAGAAAGGCTGAGGGAAATCGGCCTTACAACACTGGAGGACAGGAGGGTCAGAGGAGACATGATAACGATATACAAAATACTGCATGGAATAAATAAGGTGGACGGAGACAGGATGTTCCAGAGAGGGGACACAGAAACAAGGGGTCACAATTGGAAGCTGAAGACTCAGACGGGTCACACGGATGTTAGGAAGTATTTCTTCAGTCACAGAGTCGTCAGGAAGTGGAATAGCCTAGCAAGTGATGTAGTGGAGGCAGGAACCATACATAGCTTTAAGACGAGATATGACAAAGCTCAGGAACACACACAAACACACACGTGTAATGGTGGCGCTAGAATATAACTCCCCACCAAACAATAGCACACACACACACATACACACAAACACACACGTGTAATGGCGCTAGAATATAACTCCCCACCAAACAATAACACACACACACACACACAACACACACACACACACACACACACACACACACACACACACACACACACGTGTAATGCGCTAGAATATAACTCCCCACCAAACAATAAACCACAGCACACACACACACACACGTGTAATGGCGCTAGAATATAACTCCCCACCAAACAATAGGAGGCCAATGGAAAAAAAAATATTAGTTAAAAGGACACAGATGCAGCTAATGTGAACTTTTACTGTGGCAATTTTTCGCTCTCAAGGAGCTTTGTCAAGCTGTTACTACTCGTGTAAAGAAACCCCTCAAGTGTAAGTAGGCAGAGATGAGCCGGCAAAACATCATTTTAGATTTTACACTAAACGAACATAACAGATGAAATAAACTACAAGGAAAGTGGCTCCTGTTATCATGCAAAAGTAAATTTACACACCTGGTGGAACTGGGAAAAGAAGAAACAATGAAATAAACAACAGAAAACAGACCACAGCATAAGAAACCTGGGAGAAATGAAAAAAGGGAAAAAGGGGCCTGAAAGCGAAGCAGCACAAAAAAAAAATGGGGCCAAGAAGTAAAGGAAAGTCTGATACCAAGTTTGAAGATAAACAAAACCAAGAAATTTCAGCGACAGTTCAACCAGGAATGCAAAGAAGCCCAAGAAACAGACAAGATGGCGACTAATTCAAAGAATATAAAGCAGCAAGAACAGAGAAACAATATCTAGAAATTAAAAAACATGGTCAAGAAAGGAAGCTGGAAGATAATTAGAAGTCTTTATCTGGTTTTAAAAGAGAAAACTGAACCAGAGCTACTCCACAACCACACAAGATAATGATCGTAAAAAATAAAATACGTGATAAGGCAAATAGGGAAGTATTCACGCCAGTGATATACAGTATAGTATTTTGTTTATCAACAGAGGGGGAGAGAGAGAGAGAGAGGAGGAGAGAGAGAGAGAGGGGGAGGTGAGAGAGGGGAGAAGAAGAGAGAGAGAGAGAGGAGAGGGGAGAGGGGAGGAGAGAGAGGAGAGAGAGGGGAGAGAGAGAGAGAGAGAGAGAGAGAGAGAGAGAGAGAGAGAGAGAGAGAGAGAGAGAGAGAGAGAGATTGTTAGTTTATTAGGTTTAAAGTGTGGAGAGTGGAAGTGCGTACTTACCCGGTAGTGAGAGTATATACCAGCAGGGTATGGTGGCTGCCACAGCACTAACATGGTAGTCTCATTCCTGTACCACACGATGAAGCGACCCGGGGCGTTGGGACCTTAACAACAAACACAAGTTATTCTTCCTAACTCTTATTACTTGAAAAGTAACCATGTCAATACCTAAAATAACTACTATGGGGTGATTACTTATTCTTACAGCTATGACAACTGTAATCATTATACAAGGCGATTACCAAGAAATGTAACTAAGCTAAATATTAACTAAGGTAATCACCCTTGCGTCTAGAAAAACAAATCAGCCCTTAGATTAATCCCTCCTAGAAATGCACATGTAAATCGCCCATCAATATCTATAAGATAATGACCTGAAGTAATTACCAATATTACGAGTACGATACTCCTGGCAAAACTCAGGGAAAAATAATTATGCAAAGTAATTACCCAGAGCACATTCTTTGATTACTTCCAAAATTTTGTCTTTGGAAGCACTAATCCCATGATTGTTTTTAAATTAATTAAAAAAGTTACATATAGTTGTTTTAGATACAAATGTTGTGAATACTGAGGTTGAAGTAGTCTCCTGGATGGTCTAGTTATACTAGTGAATACTGAGGTTAGTCTCCTGGATGGTCTAGTTATACTGGTGAATACTGAGGTTAGTCTCCTGGATGGTCTAGTTATACTGGGGAATACTGAGGTTAGTCTCCTGGATGGTCTAGTTTATACTGGTTGAATACTGAGGTTAGTCTCCTGGATGGTTTTAGTTATACTAGTGAATACTGGAGGTTAGTCTCCGGATGGTCTAGTTATACTAGTGAATACTGAGGTTAGTCTCCTGGATGGTTTTAGTTATACTGGTGAATACTGAGGTTGTCTCCCGGATGGTTAGTTATACTGGGAATACTGAGGTTAGTCTCCTGGATGGTCTAGTTATACTGGTGAATACTGAGGTTAGTCTCCTGGATGGTCTAGTTATACTAGTGAATACTGAGGTTAGTCTCCTGGATGGTCTAGTTATACTGGTGAATACTGAGGTTAGTCTCCTGGATGGTCTAGTTATACTGGTGAATACTGAGGTTAGTCTCCTGGATGGTCTAGTTATACTAGTGAATACTGAGGTTAGTCTCCTGGATGTCTACTTATACTGGTGAATACTGAGGTTAGTCTCCTGGATGGTCTAGTTATACTGGTGAATACTGGATTTAGTCTCCTGGATGGTCTAGTTATACTGGTGAATACTGAGGTTAGTCTCCTGGATGGTCTAGTTATACTGGTGAATATGGGGTTTTGTCTCCTGGATGGTTTTTTATACGGGGGAATACTGAGGTTAGTTCCTGGATGGTCTAGTTTACTGGTGAATATGGGTTAGTCTCCTGGTGGTTAGTTATATGGGGGAATACTGAGGTTGAAGTGTCTCCTGGATGGTCTGTTATACTAGAAATACTGGGGTTAGTCTCCTGGTGGTTTTTTATACTGGTGAATACTGGGGTTTGAGTTTTCCCCCGGGTGGTTAGTTAACTAGTGAATACTGGGTTTGTTCCGGAGGGTTAGTTTACGGGTGAATACTGGGTTATCCCCTGGTGGTCTAGTTTCTAGTGAATCTGAGGTTGTCCCCTGGATGGTCGTTATACTAGTGAATATGAGGTTAGTTCCGGATGGTTGTTATATAGGAAATACTGAGGTTGTCCCCTGGATGGTTATTTTTTATGGTGAATATGAGGTTAGCCTCGGATGGTCTAGTTTCGGGTGAAACTGAGGTAGTCTTGGATGGTTAGTTATCGGGGAATTTTGAGGTTAGTCTCCTGGAGGGGTCGTTATACTGGTGAATATGGGTTTTTTGTCTTGGATGGTTATTTATATGGTGAATTTGGGTTATTTCCCCTGGATGGTCTAGTTTTACTGGTAAAATACTGATTTAGTTCCTGGATGGTCTATTATACTGGTAAATACTGAGGTTGGTCTCCGGTGGTTAGTTTAAGTGAATATGGGGTTAGTCCCCTGGATGGTTTTAGTTATATGGTAAATACTGGGTTAGTCTCCGGATGGTCTGTTATATGGTTGAATACTGAGGTTGAAGTAGTCCCTGGATGGTCTGTTATACTAGTGAATACTGGGGGTGTCTCCTGGATGGTTAGTTTACTAGTGAATAGGGGGTTGTCTCCGGGGTGGTTAGTTATATGGGGAATATGGGTTGTCCCCGGTGGTTAGTTATACTAGTGAAATACTGGGTTAGTCTCCGGTGGTCTGTTTACGGGGGAATATGGGGTTAGTTCCTGGAGGTCTAGTTTCTAGTGAATACTGGGTTTAGTTCCGGGAAATGGTCTAGTTATACGGGGGTATTAAAACCTGGGTTTTAAAAAGGGCCCTGTATCCAGGGTAATGGGAGAAAAATAAACACGTAAAAAAAAGTTTAGACTTATTTATCCTTCACCAATTATAACAGCAATGTACATTTTTACAGTGATAAATATAGTGCACTCCACGGTAAGAAAGGGCAGAAATAGAAGCCAAAAGATGCAGGACCGTGCCAACCGCTCTAGGGGGGAATGAAAAGGGCGGGACAGGAAGGCGGTATCCCAAAACCCTCTGCGATTGTCAATCCCCCCTTTTATTGGCTGAAGGGGGGCATTTTGAAGAGGGGGCCCATTAATCTTGCAACCTGGTTGTGGTTGGGGGGATAGCCTGTAAATGGGGGTGTGTCCATGCGCCGAATAAGGTTTATACTCTTTGCTCCACCCCCACCCCGGAAGGTCAGGTTTTGGTGCCACCCCCCAGTGGAAACGTGCCGCCAGGGCCCAAAAAAAATGGGCCCCCTACCCTCTCCACCATCCCACTTTAGATGGTCAGTTTTCCTAGTGAAAAAACCCAAAACCCCCTAAATCAGAGGAGACGCAGTCAGATGGGCCAATTTGGTCCAAGATACAAGCGGACGGTAGCCGTATCCCTACTAAAAAAAAAAACCCCACTCAGGGGATAAAAAAAAGAGTTGAAGGGGGGGTTCCCAAAAATACACCCAAACCAAATAAAATTTAAAAAACTAGACTCTTGACAAAGATTTCTGCCAACACATTTTCTTTGCGGGCAATGTAAGAATTTTGAAGTTATGGGGCTGCAGCCTGGCTCCAACGCAAAAGCCTTTGTTGTGTTTTCAGGGCTTGGAGATAGCAAACGGGTTGTGACCCTGTAGAGTGCCCACCTGCGATGTCGGGCCCCACTAAAAGAAATGCTCCAAAGCCATTACCAGCGCGAGGGCTTTTTTTCAAGGGTAGAGTAAGCTCTCTGATGTGGCGGAACTTGCTAAAAAGTATGTACAGGCGCAACTCCTTTTTCCGATTTTAATGTACCCCCCCCAAACCCCCAATCAAAGATCAACCTGTAATGAAAAAGGTTTGGAGAAGTCTGGAGACAGGAGAAGGGGTTTGGGCACAATAATCTTTTTGTTTATTAAAAGCGTGTTACAATCTGACGTCCAATTAAAGGAACTTTATGACTGGTAAGAGAGGTAAGAGGGGCTACAATATTGGAAAAATTTCTTACAGAATTTTGTAAAATCCTATCTGCCTAGGAAACGTTGAAGAGATTTCCTATCATGAGGAATGGATAATCTTTAATCGAAAGAACTTTAGAAAGTTTGGGTGCAACTTACCACTCCTACTTCATGGCCTGAAAATGATGGGGCCTGGCCAAAGGAAGATTTAGAAAATTAATTTTAAATTTGGGGAATTTTAAAGGTTTAAAACAGAGTTTTTAAGTTAAGTAGGTGTTGCCCCAAGTTTTCGACACCAAACAATATCATTAGGTATGCTGCCGTGCCTTAAGCCCTTTAATAGCCTGATGGTGAGTTTCTGGAATGAAGGGGGGAATTTTTCTTTCCCAAAAGGGGGAAACTGTATACTGATAATGACCTCCGGGAAATTTACGAAGGCGGGGAATTTCCTTGCCTTATTGTCAAAGGTACCGATGTAACTTTAAGGAGATTAATTTGGACACAAAAGTACCCTTCCCCACAAAGTCAATTACGTCACCAGACGGGGAAAAGGGGTAGCTCTGAAATTTGTGCCTCGTTCACTTTGTTATTTTGGAATGCCAAAACAAGAAAAAATTTTTGTTAAAGCTTTGAGAAAAGCTTTAGTATTGATTTAGCATTGGGATCGCTTCAGGATATCTGGTTACTTTTCATAATTGTAAAAAAATACTGATTTCCCGATTTTGGGACTTAGGTAGTGGACTACACATCTAAAATTTAAAAATCTGCAAAGGTTTCCATCAGAGGAGGGGTTTTGGGAGGTGCGGGTTTTAAATAGAATGTCCAGGTTTTCCACTTGTGAATTCTCGGAACACCTAATTTGATTTTACACTTTCTTTAATTTTGGGCCCAAAAAAAAATTCTTTTTGATTCTTAAAAGGTTTTGAATTCCTAGTGACTCCTGAGACTTTATGAGCTATATTTAATATTGGGGGTTATACTTGGTTGGAACCACAACTGTCGTATAATTCCCGGGCCCCTTGTCCCTTACCAGTCTCAGTGATACAAAAATCTTTTTTAACTTCTATTGACGGATCCCCCAAAAAGGGGGTTTTACCCTGGCTGCCTAAAAAGGAATTTTAAGAAGGGTCCTTAGGTTCCCCGGAAGGACAGTCCCTCGGGCAGGGAAAAAACAGAGACAATTGGCAATCCGAAAACCGGGGAATAGGAAGGCTTGACGGGGTTGTTCACTGATTTCGAGACCCCGGCCCGGGTTTGTGTTCAAAAAAACAACGTGGTTCGAGCGGAGGTCCAAGGATAGGTAAACCTTTCCCGACAAACCCTTGGGTGTTGCCGAGTTATGGCCAAATGGAGAAGTTTTTAAATTTCATTATGGTTCAGGAACAAAGAACAGTGTAAGTTATTCCCCAGTAATACATGGTTTTTTTCATGGGAAATCCTTTTGAGATACTACGTCAAATACCCAGTGTAATATTTGACTGTCATAAATTTTTGCAAAGGAACGAAATAATTTCCTCCCTGGCTTCCAATAAAATGGGAAATTTAAGGAAATATTCTCTGAAAGGGGTAAATTCCTTCTCTGCAAGTGGCAATATGCTCAGTATCTTAAAGGTATTTACTTTGTTGGTTTGAGTTTTTCCTGAAGGGAAAAAGTTTGCAATAATAAGGGGCCATACCTTTTTCTACTTCTTAGGGGGAAGTTACTAGGGTATTAGAGATTTTCCCCATGGGTTGGGTTTTTGGGGGGGGTTGGAACTGATTGA